TGCGACTTTCAGTTTTGCAGCCTGTGCAGTAGGTAGGAAGGTACAGAAGAAGGCAGTAGAAATGGATGCTGAGTGTCGACAGGTCCTACTGGGCATGCCTCCTAACAAGAAAGGAGGAAGCAGCTCGCATGCAGGCAGCTCACATCATCCTCAGCTCAGAGAATGTCACCAGGGCACTGTGAAACAATTCAGTCGTTCCTGGAGGCCCACCCGGGAAATCTCTCAAGATTTGAGGAAGATAAAATAAGTATGGCATTTTGAAAAGCAGCTCAGAAGACATAAGCATATGAAATGACGAGTGTTTGGCGAACCTCATGGTAGAGTAGTTAAGCATTTGGTCTTCTGAATCAGTTGAAATTTTGGCGTAAAGCCCACCTGCATCATTTACCAGCTGTGTGACCTTCAGCAAGTGACTTCCCTTCTCTGAGCTCTAATAGTCTTACCTCTACACTGGGGGTAAAGTTTTCAACTCCCTAAAACGTTGTGAAGATTTCTGGAGATGGTGTTTATAAGGCATTAGCACAGTTCCTGGCAAATGCTTCCAACTCAATCAATAAAAGCTGCTGTCCTCAGTGTCATCATCATCATCATTATCATCATCACCACCATCGATGCCATTATCAGGAGGAAGAAAAGAAGGAGGAAACATTTTCCAGACCTTTAAAACTTCTTTCACCCACTTCTGACCTCAGAATAATTACGGTAATCTATTACTGCAAAACATCTAAATGAACCCATCTCCACCATTGTGAGAGGAATCATACTAGTTCAGCAGATGAACTGGGTTCATAGCGCCTTCTCTACCTTCTCAGGCTTCTCTGTGAGGCCTTTTAGAACAATGCTCTCTTCTTCCTGTATTCTCACTGTGTAGAGTCTGTGTACCTCCAGTTAGCTCTTGCCTCATTATTTCCTATGTCAACAGCTGTGATTGATGTCAGGATGGATTTGAAGTCAGGCAGCTCTACTGGCCACTAGCAGTGGGACCTTGAGCAAATCAGTTCATTTCACTGGGGCTTTGTCTCTTCATCTGGACACTGGGTCATATTACCCACCTGACAGGGTAACATGAGATAGTTTTCCCAGCATGTAATAGGTTCTTGTAAACATCATAGTCACTAGAATTCATGGACATGTTTGGTGCTCCCACGGGATTGTAAATGTGTTAAGGACTATGTTAGTCTGCTCTAACACTGCTAATCAAGACATACCTGAGACTGGGTAATTTATAAAGGAAAAAGGTTTAATTGACTCACAGTTCCTCCCCACAGTTCTTGACTGGGGAGGCCTCAAAAAACTTACAGTCATGGCTGAAGGCGAAGCAAATACATCCTTCTTCACAGGGCGGCATCAAGGAGAAATATGAGTGAGGAGGGGAAAGCCTCTTATAAAACCATCAGATCTCATAAGAACTCACTATCATGAGAACAGCATGAAGGTAACTACCCCCATGATTTAGTTACCTCTCACTGGTCCCTCCCATGACATGTGCGGACTATGGGAACTGCAATTCAAGATAAGATTTGTGTGGGGAAACAGCTAATCCATATTCGTATCAGACACTGTGCCTGACACATGGTCGATGCTCAAAAGTCCTTATTAAAAGGGAAATAAGGGTTCCGGGCACCTGGGATGAGATGAAGCTTCCAGAGGTGGTGGGGGAGTATAAACCAGGGTCAGGATACTCAGAAGATCCTGATCACATTCTGGCCCTCGCTCCTTTCTCCTTTTCTTTCTCCCAGGAGGTGATATTTCCTTGGGCCGTTCTTAGGCCACCTACACTGAGTAAGGACACCCTAGTGACTTTGTTCTGGATAGATCAAAGCCCTTCTCAAACCTTACCTCATCTGCCTCCTACCAGCCTGGGGTGGCAGAGAGCTGGTTGGCTCAGAATGATTGCTCCCATTCTACGGATGAAAATAACAAAGGCAAGGATTCATAAACTGACTCACGGGTTGAGTCAGTGCCTGCTGTGCACCCTTCCAGGACAGTGTTGCTTCCTAATAACTATAGCGTTTATTTCAAGTTTATAGATTGAGTTTCCGCCACAGTGGAGCCAACAGCAACCTCCTCACACTTTCTCAACATGCCTGGATTATTTTTATTTCTCCACATTTTTGTGTTAGGGCTCCCAGAGATAAAAAGGGAACTCTGGGGTCTGACTATTCAGGAACTCTCAATACAGAGTTCATGTATAAATTTTTAGTTGGTTTGTCTTTCCTGGGAAGCTGGAAACTTTTTATTCACTGGGTCACCCTGCTTCATCAATTATGACCCCTTAGCCAGGAATCTCAGTACTAGGCTATGACAGCATTCTAGTTCAAGGCTCCACCACTGAGCTAAATTATTTCTGTATAAGAATTGCCCTCTTGTATTGAGGCTGGACATAAAGGGAGAGTAAAAAGAACTTTTGGAAGTGGATTCAGGGGACCAAGAATCATTGTCCAAGTTCTTCAAGATTTTTTTTCCCTCTAAGAATTGGGGAAATAATGTGTGTGAAAAATCACAGTGCCTGACAAACAGTACTGCCTCCTTTGACATTACTTAACTCAGAAGCCCTGGAAGGGCTCAGTCCCTGGCTCACAGTAGTAAGTGCTCCGTAAACATTTGTTTGGACTGTATAGGTATTTTGAATATATGGCAGGATTATTTTTATGAACCTTTCCTGCCTAGTTCAATTCTTAATTTCCAAAGCCAACCAACAGCGAGTCCTCACTGGTCAACCTCATATATGACTCTGATCTTGATACCAAGCTATCAACTCATAAAAACCTGTCAAGGGTCTCCTAGCTTCGAGCGTTGTATTCCCATCTACAGCATTTCCGACGTGTTGTCTCTGCCACAGCCGCTTGGACTGGTGTCCTGCCATGCTCTGCACTGGGAAGGCATCTCAGCATGTGTGGGTGGTGTAGGTGCCGGCAACGGCCTTGGAACACGGCTGTCCTTACAGAATGTTAACCAGTGAGCCATCAAAGGGTGCCAGGGCCATGAGCTCCAGAATAAATACCTTCCATTCTCACCTTATACTGTTGCTGATTTAATTGTGCCTTCAGGTCAGCCAATTGTCAACCCAGTGTGGAAGCAGGGACATTTCTTCCACATGTCTATTGTGAGGTTAGGGGAACATGGTCACACTGTAACAGATAAGTCCTGTACCAAGTTTTCTGTGTGTGTGTGTGTGTGTGTGTGACTTTCTCTCAGTCACACACAAGACTCTGTGGCCAGAATCTCTCAGTGGATTCTGGCCACAGAGTCTTGCTGGGGGGTTCCACACCCATGAGATCTGTGAATCTCAAGACATTTTTGCCAACAAATTTTATCGAGTGCTCACCTTGCCCATGTGTTTCTGTTAGGGTCTCAACAGGAAGCAGATGACATATTTGAAATAGGATAATTTGAGGAGGGTTATTTGCAATAAGACTATCTACAATGGTGTTGGAGGTAAGAACCATGAGGGAGGGAGCAGTAACTTCTGGGTCAGCAGCAGTCCTGATGTTACCACTTCCAGTCCCAGGGGTACAAAGAGAAGGGCTATTAGTGCACACTGGAGGGAGGACCAGGGAGCAGTAACCTTCAGCTGAGGGACCCGCTAACTGGAGGTGACTTTGCCAGTAAAGATCCGGGGGCCTAACTTACTCTAACTGATTTTCTCTTTTCCTCCAATCTTCTGTGGGGTTCTCCACTGGGCACACCCCAAAGGCAGGGAGCACAGGGAGCTGGAAGTAGTTTGTAGAGGTCAGCCTTCTGTGGCAGAGGTCAGGCAGGAGAAGTCTTTGGAGCAGATGAGGGTATCTGGAGGGGAAAATGTAAGACATCAGGCTCTATACTGCACTGTCTAATGGACAGGGTGATTCCAGGTTTTGTAGGGACTGAAGCTCACACAATTTTGGGGACCTACTTTAAGAAAATTCAGCTGGGTGCTGTGGCTCACACCTGTAATTCTAGCACTTTGGGAGGCCAAGGGGGGTGGATTGCTTGAGCTCAGGAGTTCAAGATCAGCCTGGGCAACATGTGAAACCCCGTCTCTACAAAAAATACAAAAATTAGCCAGGTGTGGTTGCCTGTGCCTGTAGTCCCAGCTACTTGGTTGTGGGGTGAGGTAGGAGGATTGCTTGAGCCCAGGGGGTAGAGGCTGCAGTGAACCAAGATCATGCCACTATTCCAGCCTGGGTTACAAAGCGAGACTCTATCTCAAAAATAAACAAACAAAAACAAAACAAAAAAAAAAAAAAAAAGAAAAATTAAAATCGACAAATAAAAAACCCCAAAAGCTACATAAACTCGTTGAGGGACCCGTGCAAGTGAGGTCCTGAATGCTTCATTGGCTTCATTGTTAATCTCCCTCTGCCTGTGACTTCGGTGATTTTGACCTAGAACAATGACCCAGTGCCCAATAAGCTTTCAGTCTCGTGGGTGACAGAGACTTAGCTGATTAGAATAAACACAAAGCAAACTGTCGTATATGTTGATTACAGATGAAATGCTACAGAGGGTTAGGTAGACCTTGAGATAGGCTTTGAAATAGGCTTCGAAAACCAGGTTGGATTTACACACATGTCAATAAGTGGGCAGAATAATCCTAATACTATCTGCTATTTATTGAGCACCAACTAAGTTTAAACTACTGTCTCCAGATTATTTCATTTAATTCTAACAGAAACAGGAAACTTATTTTACACCCAGCTCTCTGCCAATACACTTAATAAATCAAGCTATTACGAACACTAGCATGTTTATTTCGGATCCTGTGGCACTGACGAGTACAGTACTGGATTTGATCAGAAGGGCGGAATCAGAGGCTGTAAACCACATTTCCTAGAAGCCCTCGGGAGCAGAAGGACTGGGATCTTCCTTTGCCGCGAAGAGACTCCAACTCCCAGAATGCTTTGGGAGCGCGGGACCACAGCTCCCGGCATTCCCGGGGAGGCGCGGGGCTAGCGTAACCTCCTCCCCACCCCGCCGCGTTCCCACCCGCCCCGCCCTTCCCCGTCTCCTCCGAGCCAATGGGAAGACTCCTTACTGCAGGGTGCGAAGGGGCCGGCGCTGCTGCCGGGTTACGAGTCGGCGAAAGCGGCGGGAAGTTCGTACTGGGCCGAAGGCGACGGGACTGCGGCTTAGGGTAGGGAGGCCGCAGGCGACACGGCTCGAGCACTCGCGCGCTAAGTGGAGGGCACGGATGTGGGCTGTCGGGGGCTGGGGCCGGGCTGGGCCTTCCGGGCGGCTTGTGGGTCCGCTGCGTGTGCGGGAGGCGCCGTCCAGCCAGGCCGTCCCGCGGGGCCGCGCTCCGCCGCTTGGCTGCAGCCTGGGCGGGCGTCCGCCCCTTCCTTGACTCGTTCAGGCCCCGCCGGCGCCCCGGGGTTGGCTATACTGACAGGCCGGCCCCCATCAGAACTCCGCGTTCTGAACGCGCGTGGTGTCGTGGCCAGGCTCCCACCGCCGCCTCGGGCCTTCCTGGGAAGCCGGGTCTGTCGGGAGGGTCCGAGTGAAAAGCACAGTCGAGGCTCCTGCCCCGCGGAGCTCACTGTATAGAAGGGAAACAACACTCGCAGCTGCGATGCTTTGCGGATACGGAAATGCTTTCTTAGAAAGGGACAGGCAGTTGCGGGCTAGAGGAATGGGGACGAGGCCCTTGAGGTTAGGTGATCCTGGAGGGCATCTCAGAGGAGGTGTCCTTTGACTTGAGAGAACTGAGAGGGGAGAGGGAGCCTGACCCCTGAGGATAGCATCCAGGCCTGGGGACCGCGAGGCCGCCCTCTGTTTCCCTGTTACGGCGCGGGGAGGCCCTGTGAACTTGTACTTGAGGGTCTGTCTGGTGCAAAGCGGTAGAGCCGCTTGTGGGTTTTGCAAGGGACTTTGATTTCCGTTTTGACAGTTCCTCTTCTGTCCTGTCCCTAGCTGGCAGGGCGGCGTCCTTTACTGATGCAGCTGTTCAGGAGCAATGCATAGTTTTTCCTACCATCGAAATAGTATTTTGGTTCTTGTCTCGAAACTTAGGTGATTGAATTAAATTTGACAGACAGCAGCAGAGTCAGACATAGGTTCTTGTTGAGGCCACCCATTTTTCTCACGTCCTTTCAAGTCACTTTTTTTTTTTTTTTTTTTTTTTGGTATAGACTCTTCCCTCCCCTTATGTCCCTTTCTTGGAACAAGTTGGAAATACCAGTTTTGCTTTTGGGAGGGTGTTGCTTTTGGGGAACTGTTCAAGAACCTCATTAACTATTGTGTGTTTTTCTTTTCTTTTCCTTTCTTGTTTTCTTTCTTGCTTTCCTTCTGGAATTGCCCATCTGTTGAGTCTGAAATTCAAGAGTTAAAAAAAAATTAAGGGCAGCATTTATTTTCAAGAGTTCACAATAAAAAAGTCACCTTTCTTTATGACATGCTGAGCATGATACATTGGGGGAGAATTAATGTAGAATTTTAAAGCATTTTCAGAAGGAAGCAAGGGTTCTTTATATAGTCATATTATGTAGGTTACGTTTATGTTCTTCAAAATGGCATGTAGTGATTGGAATTAAATTTCTGAGTAGGTAAGATTATGTTTATCTGTTACCTGTAGAAGGGAATGTAACTTAAGTAGTCAATAGCTTTTTCTGTTGATGCTATCATAGATGGTATTCTCTGTACATCTCAACATTGCTGATCAGATTCTGTGTTAATACAGTGACACAACTTGAATTTAATAACAATAAACTTGTCTGAGGCGTTACTGTCAGTTTAGTTCTGGTACCCAATAGAAATATCAGTTTTATAGTGCAGTGGCTTCTTGTTATGCTCAGTGCTGCAAAGATTATGAGAGGATATTTGTTAAACAAATGAGATAATGGAGTAATGTGTTAAGCATAGACCCTGGCATATAGTAAGTTAGTAAGTGCCCAGGAAATGGTTATATGGAAAGCTTATGCTAAGTTTTATTCCAGTATGCAAGTGTATGTTTTAAAAATAACAGTAATGCATTCAAAATGTTGACAGACCCTAAAATTAAATTTCTTGAAGGAAACAGGCCAGCTTTTTTTTTTTTTTAACTTTGAGAGCTAATGTGAAATACTAATAAATATATAAGTGAAATGTCCCAGATGTCTAGAAATGAAAAAGCAATATTTTAATTTTGACAGCTATGTTTTTTTTCTTAAAAGCATCCCTAATAAGATATAATGTACTATGATTAGGATTATGATTTGAAAAATAAAACTTATTTGGAAATGAAGCAAAGCTTTAAGATTTACCTTATATCAAATGAAGGATATCTCCTGAATTTATGCAAATGTGCAAATGCTTATATCTCCATAGATCAGGCAGTGAGCCTAATGGGAATTAAATGCTGCCTCTTTGTGCGTGTGAGTGAGGCTTTCATGAAAATTGCTCTTGATGGGTTCTGAGAATGGATTGGTAACTGAATAGGACTGGAGAATATTTTTCAGACTGGTAGGATATTTTACATGCTTGCCAGGGTTATTTTTCAGAGTGAGAAGAAATGGACTCATTTATTCACCAGAGATCACGTGCCTCCTATTTGCAAGGAATTGTGCTAGGTGCAAAGTCTATTCTTGCTATCGTAGTTTTTTGCTGAAGCAAGTTTTCTTTGTTTTAAATTAAATAGGTTTTTTTTTTTTTTTTTACTTTATTTAGCATCCAGCACAGAAGAATTCAGTAAATGTGTAGGGCACATTTGAAAAACTGCACTGTAAATTTTAATATGTAGAAAGTGTTTAATAAATGTTCAAGATGAATTTAAAATGGTGTTAGGACCCTAATAAAGCATTTAAGTAGGTGCTGTAACCAAGATGTGTTTTTACTGTAGGATAAGTTTGGTTCTTTTGATCGAGATTCCTGTGAATATATTTCTTCTTTTATAAAGATGCAGAGGGCTGTGTCCTTTAATTTTTTTCCCTTTGGTGCTTGACTGATATTTAAGCACCCAGCATTCTGAAGTTGCTATTTTGAAGTAATTTCACACACTTTCCCAATTACTCCTGCTCCATCTCTCCCAGTGTTGTCTTAAATCTTTGCACTCAAATTCAAGCACATCCTACTACTCTTGTTCTGAGTGACATAAGGGCAACACTTTAAAAAAGAAAAGCTCTCTAGATCTAGAGAGGTATGAGCTATGGCTCTTCTCCCATATTAGGAGTTGGATTTTTAGTATTCATCAATAAATACTAATGAGAACCAGCTGCTGTACTTTTACTAACATTCTTCAGGAAATTTATTAAGAATTTTATTAGCCACAGTATTTTTGTCAACTTGGAAAAATAGATGTTTGTGAATCATATTTAGTCTTCAGGTAAGTACATGGATTTTGATGATTCTTTGCAGTTACTTCTCTCTCTCTATGGGTCTCTCACCATAGGATGAGAACCAGTGCTCTCGGATTTGAAAATTAAGGTAGATACTGTTCACAATGGCAGATATTGAAGATGAATATTAAACGTGTGTACTAAAATGTTTATTGATAAGTCTTACTGATTAAATGGGAAAATATGCTAGATGAAGTCATAATTAAATTGCAAAGTAATTTGAAATTTAGGAATGTTCTGTTATACTTTTAAAGCAAATAACATACTGATAAGGGAAGCAAATAACATACTGATAAGGGAAGGACACATGTGTCTTGTGGAACTCAGTATCAGGAACAATATAGTTGGCCCTGCAGGGGACTAAACATGAGAACTGAAAGTCATTAGGAAGAAGAGCAGCCCCATTCCACTGTTTCAGGGACAGTATAATTTCCTCGTATTTCTTTTCTTTTCTTTTTGAGGACCGTCTGTCTAGCTGTTTGTATGTCAGCAGATATTTTTGCTCTAGACTTAGATACTTGCTCTAAAAATCCTAAAGAGACTGCATTATCTATCTAATTGTCATTTACATCTAAAATTAAACAAACCATGAAGTTAGACATAGCTAACCACAGCTTTATTTCAGGTTAATTGCTTTTCTTAAATTGTTTTTACCAAGTAACAGCTAAAATAAAAGTCATCATTTGATGATGGTAAGTATTAATGCATTGTGATTGCATTTCACAATATTAAGTGTTAGGAAGAACTGTTAGACCTTAATTCTTTATGGACTATGTCCGGAAGACATAGGGACAGAAACTTTTACTGTTTCTGTTACTGTAGTCTTTGAGTTGCTTTTTTCACATCTTATTGCAGTTTACCATATAATTTGGCAACAGCTGTCAACATAGAGATTATATGTAATTACAGTGTGCCCTTGAACAACTCAGGTTGAGAGTGCTGACCCCCACGGAGTTGAAAATCCATGTTTCAGCTTTGACTTCTCCAAAGCTTAACTACTCATAACCTGTTGACCAGAAGTCCTACCAATAGCATAAACAATTTATTAACACACATTTGTATATGTACTATGCTATCTTCTTGTAATACAATAAGCTAGAGAAAAGAAAATGTTAGTAAGAAAACTATAAGAAAGAGAAAATTTATATATTGTTCTTGAAGCAGAAATGGGCCATCTTAAAGGTCTTCATCTTCATTGCCTTGGTGTTGAGTAGGCCCAGGAGTAAGAGCAAGAGGAGAGGTTGGTCTTGCTGTCTTGGAGTGGCAGAGGCAGGAGAAAATCTGTGTATAAGTGGACCTGCCCAGTTTACACTCATGTTCAAGGGTCAGCTGTATACATTTTTTTCTTAGAGCTAATAAGACAAAGAAATCTATTATTTGGGAATTGGGAAAAAAGTTTTAAAATTAATTTTTTAGAAAAGCTCAGATTATAACATTTAAGAAGTTTAATCTTGTTTTTTCAGACTTGTAGAAAATACTTTAGAAATGGTGACTCTAAAATTTATCTTTCATATGTTACTGGTGGGAATGTAAAATGATATAACCACTCCGGAAATTAGTTTGGCAATTTCTTGAAAAGTTAAACATAACACTTGACATGCAACCCAGCAAGTATACTCTTGGGCCTTTATCCTAGAGAAATAAAAACCTGTGTTCACAACACAACCTGTACATGAATGCTTGTTTATAATAGCCTTATTTATAATAGCTAAAAACCAGAAACAATTCAGGTGTCTGCCAGCGGGCGAATGGTGAAATAAAATGTGCTGGTCATGCAGGAGAGCACCATCATCACAACAAGAAACAAACTCGGTACATGCAGCGG